GTTTGCTTTTTATCATGTTCAAATCTTCATCAGTGCAATTCCTCAGGGAAGGGAGCAAAAAGGAAATGCTCCCATCAACATTGAGAACTTCACCACTTGTACAGTACATCAGTGACTGATGTGTGGGAACTGCACATTGTCTCCAGGCCCCTCCCCAAGGGACGAGTAAGCCAGCTGACTAGTGACGCAAGAAGCTGCATGGAGTGTGCAAGTTCAGACCTCAAAGTTCAATTTCAGGCATTTCAGAAAAAACACTGTTTGGTGCCCCTTCAAGAATTTCTGACTGCTATCATTGTAGAATGTTGCATGAACTGTGCAGGTAGTTTCTCACTTTTCCGCCTGTCTCCAGCAACTGTTCTTCATTCAAGTACCTGTCCAAATGTCTTTTAAATGTTGTATTTACTACTTCCTCTGATAGTACATTCTACATACAAACCACCGTCTGTGCGTAAAAAGTAGCCCCTCAGTTCCCTTTTAAATCTTTCTCCTCTTACTTTAAGAATATGCCCCCAAGCTTTGAACTCACCACCCCAAGGAAAAGATCTTTGTGATTCACCTTATCTATGGCCCTCATGATTTTATAAACCTTGCTAAGGTCACCCCTCATTCTCCTACATTCCAAGGATTAAAAGTCCTATCCTGGCCAACCTCTCCCTATAACTCAGGCCTATGAGTCCTGACAACATCTTCCTAAATCTTCTTTGCACACTTTTCAGTTTAACTATGTCTTTCCTATAACAGGGTAACCAAAACTGTACACAATCCTCCAATGACTTGTACAACTGTAACATAACATCCCAACTCCTGTACTCAATGCCTCGACTGATGAAGGCCAGCATGCTAAATGCCTTTTTCACCACCCTGAATACCTGTGATGCCACTTTCAATGAACTATGTACTTATAATCCCAAGTCCCTCTGCTCCACAACAGTCCTCAGGACCTTATCATTTACTGTATAAGTCCTACCTTAGTTTGACTTTCCAAAGTGCAACAAGTCACACTTATCTGGATTGAATTTCATTTGCCAATCGTCAGCCCACTTCCCCACCTGATCAAGATCCCTCTGTAATTTTTCATAAGCTTCCTCGCCATCAATGATACTTCCTAATTTTGTATCGTCTGCAATATTACTAATCATGCCTTGTACCTCCACATCCAGATCATTTATAAATAACAAATAAGAAAGGTCCCAGCAGCGACCCCTGTGGCACACCACTAGTCACAGGTCTCCAGTCCAAGAAACAACCTTTAACCATCACTCTCTGCTTCCTACCATCGAGCCAATTTTGAATCCAATTAGGTAGCTCTCCTGGATCCCATGTGACCTAACCTTCATGACTAGCCTGTTGTGCAGGACCTTGTCAAAGGCCTCACTAAAGTCCACATGGACAACATTCACTGCCCTACCCTCATCTATCGTCTTGATTACCTCTTCGAAAAAACCTAAAAGATTTGTCAGACATGACTTACCATGCCCAAATCCGTGCTGACTATCCTTAATCAGCACTTGACTGTCCAAACGTTGGTTGGTCCTGTCCCTCAGTATTTTCTCCAATAATTTCCCTACAAATGATGTCAGGCTCACTTGCCTTTGCTACCTTTCTAATGGAACAATATTAGCCACCTTCCAGTCTTACAGAACTTCACCATTGGCTAAAGATGAAGCAAAAATCTCTGTAAGGACCTCTGCAATTTCTTCCCTAGCATCCCACAATGTTCAAGAGTGGACTTGATCAAGCCTAGGGGATTTATCCACCTTAATGTGCTTTAAGGATGCAAACACCTCCTCTCTGGTAATGTGTATGTAGTCCAAAACAGTCTCCTTGTTTCCCTAGCATCCATGGTTCGCTCCTCAGTAAACACTGAGGAGAAATATTCATTAAAAATCTCCCCCATCTCCTGAGGCTCATAGAAAGCCATGGTGATCTTTAAGGGGATCTATTCTCTCCCTACCCACCATTTTACTCTTAATATAGCTATTAAACCTCTTGGGATTATATTTAACTTTATCTGCCAGATCAATCTCATACCCTCTTTTTGCTCTTCTGATTTCTCTCTTGAGTGCGCTCCTACGCTTTTTATAGTCATCTAGGGATTCACTTGAGCCCAATAGCTTAAACCCAATGTATGCCTTCTTTTTCCTGACCAGAGCCTCAATATCCTTCGTCCCCCAGGGATCCCTAAACCTGCCAGTTTTTCCCTTCACCCTAACAGGTCCCTGCTGTCCCTTGACTCTTGATATCTTTAAAAGCCTCCCATTTGCCAGTCATTCATTTTCCTTCAACAGACTCACCCAATCAACCACTGCTAGATCCTGCCTAATGGCCACAAAATTGGTCCTGCTCCAGTTTAACATCTTAACCGGTGGACCTGTCCTATCTTTTGCTATAACTCTGTTAAAACTAAGAGATGATCTCAAAGTTTGGATTTCAGTTGACTCCTGGCAATTGTACCTGCTAGATTTGGGTTTTGGGAATTCTTAGCAGTCAGAGACCTCATTCCATGCCAGTGACCATGCTTGGCGACAAATAGATACACTGCCCTCCGAGGCCAGACAGAAGCTCCAGACCAAGGCTGGGACTGGGCCTAAACCTCACCCAGTTCCATTACGTTCAGACTAGAGCAGCAACAGGAGAGCTATGCTTTTGTAATTGATTACAGAACTGGAAATTTACAAATGAGAAAAAGCAGGAATCAGAAGAGAATAAAAGTCTGGATGTGTTTCAATTCGACTTCAGTTCTTTGGTATCCTGCAAGTCAATTATAGACATGCCAGAAATGTTGATTTCATCGATAGTTGTGCGGATCTCCCAAAAACTCTTGCAAAATGCTTCAGATTACACACAAGAACAAAAATTTCTTAGACAACAAGGTGCAGGGCTGGATGAACACTGCAGGCCAAGCAGCATCATAGGAGCAGAGAGGCTGACGTTTCGGGCCTAGACCCTTCATCAGAAAAGGGGGAGGGGGAGGGGGTTCTGAAATAAATAGGGAGAGAGTGGGAGGCGGATAGAAGATGGATAGAGGAGAGGATAGGTGGAGAGGAAACAAACAGGTCGAAGAGGCGGGGATGGAGCCAGTAAAGGTGAGTGTAGGTGGGGAGTTAAGAAGGGGATAGGTCAGTCCAGGGAGGACGGACAGGTCAAGGGGGCGGGATGAGGTTGGTCGGTAGGAGATGGAGGTGCGGCTTGAGGTGGGAGGAGGGGATAGGTGGGAGGAAGAACAGGTTAGGGAGGCAGGGACGAGCTGGACTGGTTTTGGGATGCGGTAGGGGGAGGCGAGATTTTGAAACTTGTGAAATCCACATTGATACCATTGGGCTGCAGGGTTCCCAAGCGGAATATGAGTTGCTGTTCCTGCAACCTTCGGGTGGCATCATTGTGGCACTGCAGGAGGCCCAGGATGGACATGTCGTCTGAGGAATGGGAGGGGGAGTTGAAATGGTTCGCGACTGGGAGGTGCAGTTGTTTATTGCGAACCGAGTGTAGGTGTTCTGCAAAGCGGTCCCCAAACCTCCGCTTGGTTTCCCCGATGTAGAGGAAGCCACACTGGGTACAGCGGATGCAGTATACCACATTGGCAGATGTGCAGGTGAACATCTGCTTGATGTGGAAAGTCTTCTTGGGGCCTGGGATGGGGGTGAGGGAGGAGGTATGGGGGCAGGTGTAGCACTTCCTGCGGTTGCAGGGAAAAGTGCCGGGTGTGGTGGAGCTGGAGGGTAGTGTGGAGCGGACAAGGGAGTCACGGAGAGAGTGGTCCCTCCGGAAAGCAGATAAGGGTGGGGAGGGAAGATGCTGCTTGGCCTGCTGTGTTCATCCAGCCCTGCACTTTGTTGTCTTGGATTCTCCAGCATCTGCAGTTCCTACTATCTCTGATTCAACAAAATTTCTTTCTCAGTATTCAAAGAATTTACAACTTCTGCAAATCGTGAATGAAATCTTTTCTGCAGGTGGTTCTTTCTCCCTGAAGTTACCCCTACAATCCTGGTGGGTTCTAAACCTGATGAGATTCTAAAGATTAGCAGAGAATCTCGACCTGGGTGCTCAGTAACTACCTACAACTGTGTTGTGAAATGTAGACGTATTGTTATGCAATCTATTGCTTTCTTTCAATCTTAATGTTTTTCTTTGATTCTTTCACGGGATGTGGGCATCCCTAATTACTTGGAACTGAGGGCAGCACAATGGCTCAGTGGTTAGCACTGCTGCCTCACAGCGCCAGGGACCCGGGTTCAAATCCAATCTCGGGCGACTGTCTGTGTGGAGTTTGCATATTCTCCCCGTGTCTGCGTGGGTTTCCTCCGGATGCTCTGGTTTCCTCCAACAGTCCAAAGATGTACAGGTTAAGTGGATTGGCCATGATAAGTTGCCCGTAATGTTCAGGGATGTGTGGGTTATAGGGGAATGAGTCTGGGTGGGATCCTCCAAGGGTTGGTGTGGACTTGTTGGGTTGAAGGGCCTGTTTCCACATTGTAGGGATTCTATGAATGAATGGCTGTTTTAGGCAACACTTAAGGATAAACTACATTGTGGGTTTGGAGCCATGTGTAGACCAGGCCTGGTAAGGATAGCAAATTTCCTTCCCTAAAGGACATTAGCGATTGGATGGGTTTTTACAACAGTGATAGTTGTCATGACCATCATTCTTAAGACTTGCTTTATATTCTGGACCTTTTAAATTGAATTTAAATTCCATTTGCTGCCATTGTGGGAATTATATCCATGTCCACCGAATATTCACCTGGACCTCTGGATTACTGATCCAGTTATAATGCCAATAGGCCACTATCTCCCTCTGTGTGCAAGAGTTTATTTTTTACATGAATCATTTTACGTTAATTGATAGAATGATCATTCAGGCATATTTTATGTTTGGAAACTGAAGGACTCTATACTTCATTACAGGTTGACCGCTTTGAGGCTACAAAATTTTATTTTAAATTGAATTTACTGAAATCATTTCAGATCCATTTATGCTTATCATGAGTAATATCTTTCAGGTTTTTGATTGCCATTTCCTAGCCAATGAAGTGAAATATACTCATAATGGTTGTCCAATCCTTGATGAGGATCAAGTCATGCTGAGGCTCTACAGGTAACTGGAACATGGGAATGGGAAAAAAAGATTTGGTTATTCATAAGGAAGACTAAGCTGAGGCTTTTGGATGAACAATAAAAATAGCATTGATTGGAAAGTTTTGACTTTGTATCAATATCACAAGTGAATTTTAAAATATTTTTGAATTCAAATGCTCATATTTTCAAAGAGCCTGAGGAAAGGCCTGACAATGAGCATCACTCAGTGTTTTTTACGATTGGTGTTGGGGAGAAAAGAGGAAAATCAAACACAGAATTGTAGAAATTACACCTTATAAACAATAAAGTTGTTTATCCTTCTCTCTGTTAATTTATTTGTATAACCCACTATTACCTGAACATGAGAGAGGATGGGCAAGTGAACAGACCTTGTGGATGTGACAGTGTAGCTCTGAAAATGTGGGTGAGGAAGACAATTCCTCCTTTGACTCCCTCTGAGTTTCTGTGTGAATATAAGGCTACCGTCCAGCACATGGAATGAAACCAGTGGACAGCCTGGTATTGACCTGGGCACCAGAAATGACAATGTCAAACTCAGCCTTGTAAAATCTGTAAAAGCTTCTGAGGTCTAGTGCCAAAATTGGGAGAGATGTGCCACAGACTAGTCAAGCAACAGCCTGATGTAGTCATACTCACAGAATCATAGCTTACATATAATGTTTTTGTGTCTGGGACAGAGAGTGCTGAAGAAACACAGATCCGGCAGCATCTGTTGAGAGAAAAACAGAGTTACTGTTTCGAGTCCAGTGACCCATCTTCAGAGCTCCCAGTGCAGAAATTGGGATGCTCACCAATAATTGCACAATGTTTAGCCCCATCTGTGATGACTCAGATACTGAAGCAAATACCTGTCTAAATGAAGCAAGACCTGGACAGTAGCCAGTCTTAGGCTGATAAATGACAAGTAACACTCGCAACACACAAATCCAGATAATGAGCATCTCCAACATGAGGGTATTTAACTATTTCCCCTTGACATTCAATGGCATTTTCATCACTGAATCCCTCACGATCGACATCCTGGGAGTTACCCTTGGCCAGAAAATTAACTGGACCAGCCATATAAATATCATGGCGACAAGAGTGGATTAGAGGCTAGGAATTCTGCAGCATGTAACTCACCTCCTGACTCTCCAGAGGCTGTCCACCATCTACAAAGCACAAATCAGGAATATGATGGTGTACTTTCCACTTGCCTGGATGGGTGCCACTCCAAAAACACTCAAGAAACTTGACACCATTCAAGACAAAACAGCCCACTTGATTAGCACCACATCCACAAGCATCCCTTTACCACCTATGCCCTGTAGCAGCAGTGTGTACCATCTATAAGATGCATCGCAGAAGTTGCCAAAGATCCTGCAAAAGCATCTTCCAAACCCATGACTCTTTCAACTGGAAAGACAAGGGCACCAGGTAAACCTGAAAGTTCTCTAAGTGATACACCAACCAAGACTTAATTCTATTGTTGCCATTCCTTCATTCTCCCTGGGTCAAAATCGTGAAATTCCCTTTCTAACTGTGCTGTGGGTATCCAACATTTGAGTGATTTCAGCGGTTCAAGAATACAGCACCCCACCATCTTCGCCAGGTCCATTCGGACGAGCAATAAATGCTGGCCTCACAAATGATGCCCACATTCCCTTGAATGAATAAATAAATGAATGATAAGGTTAAGTATGCCTAGACTGGGTGTGAGTTTTGCAGGTAATGAAACCAAATCAATCTGAGTTCACACTGAGGGAAGAATTTTGTAAGAACCCTGGGCTATTGTCATTTTTCCTGTCGCCAGTAAAACATCATCGTTAGTTCACATTGTGCTAAATTATCATTTAGCCATTCCAATATATTTCAATAGCATTCTAAATCTGCTCTTTTCAGTTTTCATTCATAACTTCCCACTTTTGTCTTTATGATACAGGTTTACAGAGACAGAAACCTTCACAGAAACATTCATTCTAAAGGTTCATCTGCTTGATTCAGACTGCAACATCATCCAGCTGGGCTCAACATCATTGGAAGTCCCTGAGTTTTATGGTTTCTCTAATGTAATAGACAGGAATGTGCTTACATTTGTCTATGATGTGGCAATGAACCTTGATTGTACTGTACAGGTTACTACACAAGACATGTTACTTCCAGCATATGGGCAACTTGTCATGGGGCAGCCTCCAGAGGGTCCAGCTCGTGGTGACCAACCCCATAGCTTCTTCCAAATTATGAAGAAATCCAGTGAGTCCACACTTTCTCTTGCATTATGATTTGAGCTGATGGAAAATTTAAATGAAAAATTCTTTTTCTTTAAACATTAGAGTTTGCTGAGAATTCTTGTTTAAAACAGGGTGACTTTATTTTAGCATAGAATCACTGAAGGTGATATAATGCAGTAGGAGGCCAGTCATTTTTTGTGACTCTATTAGCTATTCCTTTCGATTATCCAGTGCCAATCTCCTGCCTTTTCTCCACATCCCTGTGCACAATTACCATGAAAAAAACATTCAATACCCTCTTGAATGCTTCATTTGAACCTGTTTCCATCCTAAGTCCTGAGCTTTTGGGAGTGTGATAGCTTATGTAGAATTTGCATTCATGAAAGAGGGCCAACCAGTAAGGTGGGAGGAAGGTCAGGGGTGAGAAAGTCAGACTGGGGGAAGAAGGGGATTAAAAACACTAAAACTGACAGTGAGTAAGAAAATTATCAGTGGATCTGACAAGTTCAATCTGTTAGCATCACGTTCACAGTGGTGCATGAATTTCCTAGAATGTACCATTGAAGCCAAAGTGACACCTTGGTTACTACTGAGGATCTGAAGGGACAGTTGTCAAAAATTTTCATGACTTCTGAAACATCACAGCATAGTTGCTTATTTAATTGTGTGTAAGTCAGCATATCCTGTTCTGAGTAGTTATCCTTATGGCTTTACAGGAGACGCTCAACATTTTGGAGGTCACTTTGATGGTTTGTACATCAGATTTCAGTTTGGAGTTCTGATCTGTCAGGAAGAGATTTCAGTCTCTTGCTGTTTTAGCTTGGATCTTGGATGGCGAACAAGATGGCAAGCAGCACCAACAGCACCAGGAGTAGAAGGAGAAGCTCCAACGTTGACTGCCGACAGATGGCTGATGGCATATTTGCTGGGATAGATATGATGATGGAGGCTTGCAGACAGAGGTGGCGTTTGCTGGTGCAGGATTAACTGCACAGATTAACTGTCCTTCAGCCACTACAGTTCACCAAGGAATGTTTGTGAACAGCAAGAAAATACACTCTTCCAATGCAAAGCTGGGATGCAACCATAAAAAAAATCCCAGTACAGCTGTGCACAAAGCTTCCAGGCGGCTGCTGTGCTGCTTTTGTCTGAACTAACCCTCCCATCATGATTATGTCACAAATCAGAACTGAACTCCTGCCTGGAAAAAGTAGCTGACAACATTCTTGGGGAGCCCAAATGACATTCTTGTGGAAACATTGTTTCTACCTCCACAGGTGTAAAATGCTTTCATAATCTTTAAGACTTCTGCATGGTCAGCACTCAGCCTTCTGTCTTTCTGCAGAAAAGATCCTTGTGAAGTTTTCTTGTTGGGTAGAAACACTAGGAATAGAGGAAACCATTGAGCTACTCAAACCAGTTTTACTATTCAATAAGATCATGGCAGGCCAATGAACTGTGTCCATTTACTCACCTTTACTCTGTGCCAGGAAGGCATACCAGAAATCTGCACCACAATGGCCACCTTAGCATTTTCTACTTCATCTAGAGGTCAAAGGTAGATTGTGTCCACAGGGACACAATGTACATATCTCAAGGATGCCAGGAGAATGTATCAAACATCACCTTTATCCTGATGGCCACCTTTGTGGGCAGCTGATTAAGTTATGCAGAGACCTTTGGTACATAGGCACCAACTGTCACTACGTACTGAGGTTCTACCGGTCCCTGGCTATGTTGCCACAGAAATGTTCCAAGTGATTCCACCTTCCCCTGTGGAGGAGTTTTCTCAGACAAACCCTTTGACCTCAAGTCCTTCAAGCAATGGTCAGCACATAATATCCTTGAGAATTATTGGGGGAAGGAGAAGCTCAGCTGTTGGGTGGTTCACTGAGCAGACTGTTAAAGTCATATGGCAGTTTAGCTGCTGTTGAGAAGGGCACTAACCGTCAGATCTTTCATGTTACCTGGCCCCGCTCTGTACCACTGCAAGCTGCCTTTGCGAAGGCATCACAGATGCTTTCAGATTCCCAGCATTGAGGTGCATGACTTGCTGTGGTCTGACACCAGTTGGATGTGGAGGGAGTGGAACCCATCTACATTGTAATACATTCCAGTGTTGACATGTTGACAGACATATTGTCAATGCCACCCTGTATTGAGTATTCATGGACTTCAATGCTCACTCTATCTGCTCTTTTCCAGAATACAGAGGTTCAGACATTTAATTTATCTAACAATGGATGACAAACCGGAGATATTGCAATTGCTGCCTGTTCCAGCCTGGAAGGAGCTGAGGGGTAAATGTTCCTGGTCACAGTCATATTGCAAATGTTATATTCACTGTGCTCAGGCAACCAGATTTCTCCTTGAACATCCTGGTCAATACAGCCTCCATCATTCCTATCCTTCACTACCTCTCTCTTACAGAAACTTGTCCAATTCTATGTCACATCTACTTCCTATCATGCAATAGACCATGGGAAATGCATGTTGCTCCATCCTTGTCTGGGTCAAGTGGCTATGAAGAATCTTTGAAGTCAGCACTGTTTTTCAGCATGTGCCACACTGCTATCTTTAACTTAAAGAAGTGAGGAAACCACTCAAAACTTGATCATTTGCAGTAGAAGTCAGTCAGCAATTCATTCTAATGTTATTGATGATCCTTTTAAATAATACCAATAGGGGTCCTTGCTGCTGCTAATGATTGTGCCATGTTTAAGAGATAGCATTAACTGGAAATACTCCAAAATATGTATTAATGTTGTCATCAAAATGTTTCCTGGCAGTCTCTCACTGGAAGCATGACAAAGGTGATCGATGAGGGTAGAGCAGTGGATGTTGTTTACATGGATTTTAGTAAGGCTTTCGACGAGGTCCCTCACGGTAGACTTATCTAGATGATTAAGATGTATGGGATCCATGGTGACTGACCACATTGATTCAGACTTGGCTTGCCCATAGAAGGCAGTGAGTAGTGGCGGAAGGGTGCTTTTCAGGGTGGAGGTCCATGACTAGTGGTGTTCCGCTGGGATACGTACTGGGACCTCTGTTGTTTGGGATATATACAAATTACTTGGATGAAAATGTAGATGGGTAGTTTAGTAAGTTTGCTGACGATACAAAGATTTGTGGAATTGTGGATAGTGTAGAAGGTTGTCAAAGGATAGAGGCAGGATATAGACCAGTTGCAGATATGGCAGAGAAATGGCAGATGGAGTTTAATCTGGGCAAATGTGAGGTGATACACTTTTGGAGATCAAATGTTAAGGAAAAGTATGCAGTTAATAGCAAGATCTTGAGCAGCATTGATGTACAGCGGGATCTTGGGGTTCAAGTTCCTAGCTCCCTGAAAGTGGCCACACAATTAGATAAGGTAGTAAAGAAGGCACATGGCATGCTTAGAGATATTCACCAGTTTTAAAATCTCCCCACCTTCGCCTCATCCCATGTCCAACCCTCCCTCTCATCCCCACCTCCTTGACCTGACACAACCTGCCCATCTTCTCTCTCACCTATCTGCCCCACCCATCCTACTGACCAACCCCACCATTTCCTACCTGCACTCACCTATCATCATCCCACCTACCTTCCCCAACCCCATCCCTCCTCTCCCTATTTATTTCCCATATCGCTACCCGTTCCCCATTTCTGAAGAGGGGTCCCAACCTGAAACGTCAACTTTCCTGCTCCTTTGATGCTGCCTGGCCTGTTGTGTTCCTGCAGCTACACATTGTGTTGTACGTGGCATGCTTGTCTTTATTGGTTGGGGAATTGAGTACAACATTTAGGATGTCATGTTGCAGCTTTATAAGACTTTAGTTAGGCCACACTTAGAGCACTGAGTTCAATTCTGGTTACCACATTACAGGAAGGATGTGAAGGTTTTGGAGAGGATGCAGAAGAGGTTTACCAGGATTCTGCTTGGATTAGAGGGTCTGATCTGTAAAGAGGGGCTAGAAAATCTCAGGTTGTTCTCTCTGGAGCGGCGGAAGCTGAGGAGTATCTTGATAGACGTCTATAAAATTATGAGATGCGTAGATCAGGTTGACGGTCAGCACCTTTTTCCCAGAGTTGAAATGTCTAAAAATAGGGGGCATGCATTTAAGGTGACAGGGGCAAGTTCAAAGGAGATGTGAGGGGCAAATGTTTTACACAGAGTGATATGAGTCTGGAATGAGCTACCAGAGGTGGTGGTGGAGGAGGCAGATATGATTGGGGTGTTTAAGGGACTTTTAGATAAGCACATGAATATGCAAGGAATGGATAGATATGGACCAAGGGCAGGCAGAAGGGATTAGTTTAATTTGGCGTCATATTTGGAACCGAAGGACTCATTCCTGTGCTGCACACTTCTATGTTCTATGCTGTGAGTGCCATCTTGGAAAGAAAACAACATTTGGAGCACTGGACTAAGGAGCCAGAGTTTGCACCCTGAATTTGCCATCTTCTAATACTGTGTTCGGTCAGTGCAGCTATATCTGATGGCTATGCAACAATATTGTCAAATAAAAGATATAGGCTGGAAGAATTTTTCAGAGCTGTTAAGCAGGAAAGTTATGAAATTCATCGTATTTTTATATATATTTATCAGACTATTTGTATTTTGCACTAGAATGGGGACAGAAGTCAAGCCAGGATGATTTGAAGGGGGTTCACACTCTTGAAGTGAACTGTGAAGAGTTTCTGATACTGGGTCTTCACTACCAACATCTCCGTCCTCCTTCTCCCGATGTCGACTTTATCACCATTAGCTTGGAACTTGTCGACAGCAGAAGCAAAAATGTGTATAAGGTACATTTAGTTTTCTGCAAACTCACTAATAATGTTTTTTTCTGAATATAGCATTTCACAGAAAGAAAGATACTTGCAACTTTGTTCTGAGTTATTATTTTGTTAATTATTTTACACGTATTGCCTGCTTCAAGGACATCTGGGATGTCCGGGAGTAGAATGCCTCAACTCAGGAGCAGATGCAGTGGAGGCGAAGGAATTGGGAATAGGATATGGCATTTTTGCAGGAAGGTGGGTGAGAGGAAGTGTATTCTAGGTAGTTGTGGGAGTCGGTAGGCTTGAAATGGCTATCGGTTTCCAGGTGGTTGCCAGAGATGGAAACAGAGAGGTCCAGGAAGGAGAGAGAGGTATCGGAGATGGTCCAGGTGAACTTGAGGTTGGGGTGCAAGGTGTTAGTGAAGTGGGTGAACTGTTCAAGCTCCTCGTGGGAGCACGAGGCAGCGCTGATACAGTCATCAATGTAACGGAGGAAAAGGTGGGCGATACGGCCAACGTAGCTTCGGAAGAGGGATTGTTCCATGAATCCTACAAAGAGGCAGGCATAGCTTGGGCCCATGCAGGTACCCATAGCCACCCCCTTTGTCTGTAGGGAGTGGGAGGAATTGAAGGAGAAGTTTGCAGGAACAGCACCTTATATTTCGCTTGGGAACCCTGCAGCCCAATGGTATCAATGTGGACTTCACAAGCTTCAAAATCTCCCCACCCCCGACTGCATCCCAAAACCAGCCCAGCTCATCCCCACCTCCCTAACCTGTCCGTCCTTTCTCCCATCTCTCCACTCCTCCCACCTCAACCCCCACCCCCACTTCCTACCTACCAGCCTCATCCCCGCCTCCTTGACTTGTCCGTCTCCTCTCCACCTATCTGCTCCTTTATCCATCTTCCATCCGCCTCCCCCTCTCTCTCTACTTATTTCAGAATCCCCTTCCCCTCCCCCATTTCTGAAGAAGGGTCCAGACCTGAAACGTCAGCTTTCCTGCCCCTCTGATGCTGCTTGGCCTGCTGTGTTCATCCAGCTCTACACCTTGTTATCTCAGACTCCAGCATTGGCAGTTCCTACTGTCTCTAAATAGTGTGAAGTGCCATTTCTTCTTGTAAAGGTATCAACTAAGACCTTTTTGTGTATAAGTGCACAGGTATCCATATAAAGTATAAAAAAGTGTTGTAAATATTGAAAAAGTCAGCTCTTTTCCTTAGCTTAACCCAGATTCATGCGATGTGGGCATCACTGGCTGGGCCAACATTTATAACCCATCTCTAATAGTTCTTTGAACTGAAAGGCTTGCTAGGACCATTTCAAGGGGCAATTAAGAGTCAACCACATTACTGTAGATCTGGTGTCGCATGTAAGCCAGACTGGATAAAGACAGCAGATTTCCTTAGGACATGAATGAACCAGATTTTTGTTTGCAACAATGCATGATTGCTTTTAGAGATAGTAAGAACTGCCGATGCTGGAATCAGAGATAACACAGTGTGGAGCTGGAGGAACACAGCAGGCCAGGCAGCATCAGAGGAGCAGGAAAGTTGACATTTCGGGTCGGGAACCTTCATCAGAAGCCCCCATTTCTGAAGAAGGTTCCCGACCCGAAATGTCAACTTTCCTGCTCTTCTGATGCTGCCTGGTCTGCTGTGTTCCTCCAGCTCCACACCATGATTGCTGTTAGGTTAGCTTAGCATTTTTGATTTTTAGAGTTCAAAAGTTCACCATATGCTGTGATGGGATTTCAATCCATTTCCCCAGAAAATTAAAACAAAGAACTGTGGGTGCTGAAGATCTGAAACCAAAGCAGAAATTGCTGGAGAAAATCAGTAGGTCTGGAAGCATCTGTGGAGAGAAAGCAGAGTTAATGTTTCGAGTCCAGTGACCCTTCTTCAAAAGTCCCAAAGAATTGGACTTGATCACTGGATTACAGTCCAACACATTTGGGCACCGCCATCGCCCATTAATCTTCTCACCAAATCTGCCAATTGTGAGTGAAAATTTGAAATGAAGTATGTATAGTCCAAAAAATTATCCTTTATACAAAGACATGGTATATAAAGAGAAACTTGAATGAAGTACAGGTGCAGATTCACCATAGAGGGTCTGACATGGTTTATGAGTCATAGCATCAAGATAATCAATAAATATACCTAGTGAGAAGGCTTACAGGAAAATGTTAGATGATAAGGTTGCCTTAGTGTTCCTGAATGAAATTGGACAGAATACCAGAAAATGATTTACCATTGAAGTGACAATTGCATTATAGTTCTTGTGACAGCAGATATGAATGGATTGCATAAATGTTGGATTAGACAAGCATATTACAAAGCTTTTATGGTGAATTTTTAACAGTCACAGTGTTGAGCAATGAGCCAGATTTAGCTAATGGTTTAACAGCGCTCATATTCTTATTAAATCTGATGCGAATTTGCTTAAATTTAATGTAGTTCTGGAAGGTAATGATGTAAAACGGTACTTGTTACTTAAGCAGGTGAGAGGATAACCAGCAAAGTTGAAAACAGCTTAATATCGGTTATTAGGAAATTGCTAGAATCTGTGATTAATATTTGGGTGTTGAAAACCTTGGTGTAAACCTTCTTGCTTCTGGATGGTTGGAGATCAGATGTACACTGGAAGGTTTTCACCTACCATATGGTTATTGTCTCCACTACGTTGAAACTTCTGATGTCTGGAAGTCCATGAAAACGTCCCCAACTCTGTTACAGTCAGAGATGTCAAAGGATTCCGACTCACTTACCTCAACAGTTAGCCACTGGGGAGGTAGTGGCGTAGTGGTAATATCACTGGATTAATAATCCAGAGAATCTGACTGTTGCTCTGGAGATATGGTTTCAAATCCCACCATAGCAAATGGTGAAAGCTGAATTCTATTAATAAATCTGTAATTTGAAAGAAAAACTGTTCTTAAGTTAAGCAAGAAAGTATCGAACCATCTGTTTCACTATTATCCTATTGAGATGGATAATCTGCCAACCTTATCCAGTCTGGCCTACATATGACTCCAGATACACAACAATGTGGGTGACTCTTAACTGTCTTCTGCGATGGTTGAGCAAGCTATGCAGGTCAAGGGCAATTAAGGATGAGCAACAAATGCTGTCCCAGTGATGCTTACATCCCATGAAAGAATAAAGAAATTTCCATTGTAAATGGAAGCATGAAATACAAACATATCAGTAGATTCAGAGAATGTGAAGAAAGTAAGCCAAATAGATTTAAGTGTAGGTAAACGTGAGATCATCTGTAATAGAGCAGAATAGTTTCTAAATGGGCAATAGCTAAAAGCTAGAGATTATGAGGGGTAGGAAGTGGGAGTGAGTGAGGTGAGGGGGCCAGATAGATGAGGTACAGAAAATAATCCAAAAAGTTAATCAAACACTCGCCTTCATAGCTGGAGGATGTGACTACAAATGGCTAGCAGTCATGCTTTGACAATGAAAGCCCTGGTTAATGCCATAGTTGGAGTATTGTGAGCAGTTCCAAAAACCAGTCCAGGGAAAGGGTAAATTATTTTTGGAAGGGACGCAGCATAGAATTATACAAGTTAGAAGGAAAGATTAAATAATTTGAGCTGCTCATCACCACAGAAAGGCTGCCAACATCATCAAAAACCCCTTCCATACTGGTAATGCTCTCTTACAAGCTCTTACGTCAGGCAGAAGATACAGAAGCTTGAACACATGCACCAACAGGTTCAAGAACAGCTTCTTCCCTGCCATTACTAGACTGCTAAACGGACATCTCTAACTTCAAGTAATGTTGATCTTGCTTTGTGCAGCTCCTGTGCAGTTGTGACCTGGACACCTCTGCCTGTACTGCTTGTAAAATGAAGCTTTTCACTTTACTTAGGTACATGTGACAACAATAAATCAAATCAAAAAATCAAAAGTTTTCTTTGGAATTTAGAAGGTAAAGGGGTACCTTGATTAAAGTTTTCAAGATATTTAGGGGTACGTGACTAAAACTATTCCCATTAGTTTAGCCTTCATAGACTAGGGCAGAATGTACAATTTAACATGAATGGAATGAAGAATACTAAACTAAAAACTTATGGCCTTGTGTTCTAATACATGGACTATTTGCAAAAAAGTAGATGAATTATTCGTACAAATGGATGTAAATGGGTATGATATTGTGGTGACTGAAGAGGTGTGGCTGCAGAAGCGTGACCAGGGATGGGAACTGAACATCCAGGGATATTCAGTTTTTAGGAAGGATAGACAAAGGCTGTGGGATAGTATTGATGGTCAAATAGAGTATTAATGCTGTAGGATATAAATTCTAGTGACATGTAATCTGAATGGTTAGAGCTTAGAAATACTAAGGGGCAGAAAATGATAGCGGGGGTTCCATTTGGAACCCCAATCTGTAGATTCATACAGTCATAAAGTCATAGAGCAATATAGCATGGAAACAGGCCCTTTGGCCCAAACTGCTGACCAAAATGCTGACCATGGTGCCCACTCAGCTAGTTCCAGTTGCCCGTATTTGGTCCATATTCCTTTAAACCCTTCCCATCCGTGTACCTATCTAACTTTTTTTTTAAATGTTGTGATGTGGAGGTGCTGGTGTTGGACTAGGGTGGACAAGGTCAAACTTTTTAAATGTTGCCATTGTACCTGCCTCAACCACTTTCTCTGGCAGCCCATTCCACATATACACCACTCTCTGCATGAAGAAATTGCCCCTCAGGTGCTTCTCAAATTTTTCCCCTCTCACTTTAAACCCATGCCTCAATTCCACATCTCTGCGAAAAAGCCTGTTTGCATTCATCCTATCTATGCCCTTCATAATTTTATACACCTCTATAAGGTCACGCCACATTCTCCAAAATTCCAAGGAATAAAGTACTATCGTGGCCGACCTCTCCCTTTAACTCAGGCCTACTAGTCCTGGCAACATCCTCCTAAATCTTCTTTGCACACTTTCCAGTTTAACTATGTCTTTCCTACAACAGGGTGACCAAAACTGTATACAATACTCCAAGTGTGGC